GTCTTTTGTTTATTCAAATTTTTTAATAGCATGAATCTATATTAAATAAACTAAGTAAAAATGTATATAAATTACTTGGCAATATAATAGTAAAAAACATTTAATGAAACTGGAATAATTATTATAAAAGATTGGTAAGATCATATTATGTAAATAATAATAATTATTCAGCACCTTACTATGATCATACCAATAGAATAATTATTCATTATTTCATTATTATATGCAAATCTATAGGGAAAATCTAAAGACATTATTATAGTGAAGTGAACCCATAAAAATAAAAGCACCCATGATGTAAGTTGCATGTTTATTTATTTGCTAACTATTAATTTATTGTTTTTTATAGTATGCTAACACTACTGATGCAAATGGAAAATAATTACAGATAAAAAAAAAAATTCCAGAGTTCGTTGTTGTTGCTGCTATCTAATACTGTGGTATTATTAGAATTAAAGTGTATAGTTGTAATTAAGCATCAGAATGTAAAACCATTCTTACTTCAACAACAAAAAACCAAAAAGATTCAAGTTTGTCACTGTTGCTGTCGCTGCCGCCTAATATGATGAAAAATATAGTAAGTATTGAATATAAAATAATATCCTTAATTGAAAATAAAATTTTAATACTTATCTAAAAATTATGAATTTGGCACAGTTGCCACCTAATGTGATGAAGAATATAGTAAGTATTTAATAAGGAATGATAAATGGAATTAAGCATTAAATGTGAAATTATTATACTTTCAAAATTTTTAGAATTTGTCATCTAATGTAGAAAAAAATATAGTAGATATTGAATTACCTACAAATGGAAAGTGATAATAATACTTTTTTAAATCTTAGGTTTTACCATTGTCGTCGCTATATAATATTGTAAAAAATATAATAGATATTGAATAAGAACTAGCATTTTGTTAAAATGATAACTTAAATCTCTTTAAAATTTTAGGTTTCACCAGCATCATCACCTAATAAGAATGTGGTAAATACTGAATAGGGGTGTTAAACTTATCTGACAATGTACTTTACATGGTAAATTACTGTAACTTATATGTAAATTACTTTAACTTATATAAGGTTACAGTAAGTTACAGTAAGTTACAATAAGTTACAGTAACTTACATGTAAGTTAACTACTCTAATACCTAAATACCGAACCATAAATGTTTATTATTATTTCAATTTTAAAATAATTTACCATACTCTTCTTCATACTTTAGATTTTGCTGCTGTTGTTACATAATGAAGATATAGTAAATATTAATATGCAATAATATTTCATATGAGAAATGATCCTTCATACTTACTATTTATACTTTTTATTTTTTGAAATTTAGGTTTCGCTGCTGCTATTGCCTAATGAGCATGTGGTAAATATTAATTAAATTATTAATACTTAACTTTGATATATCAATTATACTTATCTTTAAAATTCTAGGTTCTACCATTGGTTTCGTCTAATGAGAATATGGTAACAGATAAATAAAAAGTACAAATTTGATTAGAAAAATTAACTGAACACAATTTGGAACTTTAGATCTCACTATATCTGCCATTACCTAATATAATATTGAATGCGATAAGTATTTAATATGAATAATATTAATACTGTAATAATAAAAGCTTACACATATCTTTGAATTTTAGGTTTCTTCTCTGCTGACGCTGTCATCTAATGCAGTAGTAAATATGGTGAGTAATAAATTAGAAACATACTTTAACTGAAAAATGATAACTTATCTTTAAAATTTTAGGTTTTTCCACTTTCACCTAGTGCTGTAAAAAATATGGCGCGTATAATTTAAACATTTTAAATGGGAATGTTATTTTTTTTGTAATTTTTATGTTTTTATTTTTTTATTAATCTTTATTTTATTTTTTTATTAATCTTTATTTTATTTTTTTTACATTGTTTTTTATTTTTTTATTTCATATTTTATTTATAATATATTATTTTATCTTTTTATAATTATTTTTATTATTATTATTTTTATTTTATAGTTTTATTTTTTATCTTAAATTTGAATATTTATTCTAGAGGTTGCTGTTAAGTAATGTGACTATGAGAATAGTAAAATTAAAGGCAAAATATATAATAACCCCAAACATAATCTATATTTATTCTAGTGGTTGCAGTTAAGTAATGTGGTCACGAGAATAGTTAGTGAAAATTAAAGACAAATATATAATAATCTTAAAAATAATCTAAGATTGGGTCAGGTAATAGTTTTTACTTTATAACTAAATTACTTCTTTGACCATTTATCAAATCTTAAATATGAAATTCTGCAACGCTTGAATTTTTAGTTCTAATTCTATACGGATTGTACACAACAAATATTTTAACATTTGGATGTAATATTTGATTGCCTTTATATACTATATGAGTTGTTATCAGATCTGCTAAGACCTATATAATTGCATGTATTGATTTTATCAAAGAATAACTAGAATTCATGATATTAACATTTATTTGAGCCTTTCATAAATTGATTAATCATTGATAATTTTCTTTGCTATCTGTTATGCTAACATGAAGATTTAAAGTGTGAAATTTCATTTCATCCACTATAGCAAGAAAACTAGTTAAATTTGTTTGTTAATAATTGTCATCAAATAAAACTATTAGATTCTTACATTGCATCTTGACTGTTTTTACTATAAAAAACTCATAATATTTATACCTTCTACAACCAGCTTTACCACAAATTACTACAGGTACATTTTCAAAACAAAATCAAAGCCATCTTCAAAGATTATCAGCTGATAAAGCATAACAGGTCCAGCATAACATGGATAGTTAATTTTATAATGAGTTTTACATAATATACTTTTTAATCTTCATAACAATAAGCCCATTGGATTCTATTTTCCTAGTAAAGACCAGAGACATCGGCAAAGTTCTACAGAGGATAAACACCTTTTCATATCAGGAAATCAAAGTTGTTTAAAATATTTCTATAATAATAAAACTTTCAATTATATAACAGAATAAGATATTTTAACTTTGAATTTAACTTTATTTTTTTGTTTGATAAAATTCAGAATTTATTGATACATATTAAAATCAGTAATCAAAATTTTGGTATTGTCAGAATTTGACATTGTCAATTTTAGTAATGTTGGGATTTTGACCCATCAGGATCTTGGTAATGTCAGAATTTTGGCATTGACAGAGTTCAACATTGTTAGGATATTGGTAATGTCAGAATTTTGGCATTATTGGAATTTTAGGTGTTAAGATCAATATAATAGTGTTAGGATTTTGGTACTATTGGGATTTGATGCTGTTGGGATTTTGGAAATGATGGGATTTTGGGGTCAGGATTTTGGGTGTTGGGATTTTAGTACTGTCGGGATTCTGGGATCAGGATTTTGAATATCAGAATTTTGGATATCAGGATTCTGGGGTAAGACCATTCTCTCTGACCTCTTAACTGATCATCACAATCAGTCATTACTAATCTTGGCCTTACTCCCTCTTACCCTGTTCACAATGGTATTGACCAAGATGAAACTATTAGTCCTCTATTATGGCACATATACTATGATTCACTTATCTCATATATATACACACAAATACCTAGTTATACTTTACAATCCTTTTGAGCTACCAATCTTAAACTCCAAATATTTAACTCATTACAACAACAATGCTCTGTTTTGGCATATATGGATAATATTCTTTGGGTTGCTTTATTACAAACTAAGCTTTCTAACATATTATCCATAGCTGAATCATTTTATGCTATAGCTAACATTCAAGTTAACCCTATGAAATCCATTCTGGTTACCAATAACCCTCCATCTTACTACACTCTTATCTTCTATAATAATCATCTTCTTTCACTATATTCTTCTAAACAACCTTTTAAATTTTTAGATTGCTGGTTCACCTTGGACAATAGGCAATCTAAACAAACAAAACTGCTCATT